CTTCTCAGGTTAGGTTCACAGAGTGAGATGGCGCTGCAGCGCAAGTCCTTCACGTGACCCAGAGGTTACTTTCACTGTTTCACATAGACTACATATCTCTAGCCAGTTGTTGGAGACCCCTTACCTGGAGGCAGCAGCTGGTTCTGGAGGGTCCAACCACCTATAAAATTCCCCATGGTGTCCCAGAGCAATGCAACATCAGGTGCTCTGATGCATTCTGGGAAATTTAAATGGCTGGTGGCTTTTGAGCCCCAATTGCTGCAGCCAGAGAAGCTCCTTATTGGGCAAGAGAGCCAAAGCAGGTAGGTTGACGGAACCTGCCAAGGTGTTGGGCTCCAATAGATGTCCATGTCATACATTGCAACCCCTTTTATAGGGTTCCTGGTGTTACTTTTGAAGCAAAGGAAGGAGTTGTGCTGTCACTGCTTCCACAACAACATAGAAATATAGAAATTGGCCTTATACTGAGTCAGACCATTGATCAATCTGGATCTAGATCATGTCTACACTGATTAGTTGCAGGAAGTCTCCAGGGTTTTGGGCAGGAAGTCTTTCCAAGTCCTGCCCAGAGATGCTGGAAATTGAAGCAGGGACCTGAAGAGCACACGTTCTGGCTAGAAACAAAAACTGGCCCAAATTTTTGGAGCTCTGTTCATGTCCTGTCACAATAATACACAGCCGCCAAAATGAGCTTCATAACATAAATAAGCTTGCCTTTAATTCACAGCCCTATGAATCAAAATTTGCCCTGACCAGTTAAAATCGGGCCCTCATGCTGCTGATTACAAACCGAGTAAAAGCTTTATAATTGAGGCATCCTTGTGCCCATTTTACAGGGACAATAATGAATGCCACAAGATAATTAGAAGAGAATCAGGAAATGATGTTGTCGTTGAAACTATAGAAAACTCTTGTCATTGATTTTGTACCTTTTTGTAGCCCTATTGCATCAGGTGACCATCCCAGGCAAAATTCTACCTCAGTTATTTAGAAAGCAAGCTGTATACATGTTGGTATGCATACCAACTTACCCTAAACAGGTGCCCTTCAGATGTTTAGAACTACAACTCCCATCAGAGCCAAGCCCAGGATGGCACTAGAGTCAAAACCTTACGTGCTTGATCTGGAAGTGGGCAACTACTGGAATTTAACAACAGTCTTTTGTCGTTGTTGTTGCTGCTGCTGCTGTTTGAATTAGAAGAGAGAATTTATTCCCTTGATCTTCCAGATTGCAATTATTTCCCAAGAACAGCCTTGAAGCATTAGCAAAGAGAGAACCTTCAACTAAGAGCAATTCTAAACTTTAAAAAGTTTCTGTTCATTGGGAAGGTGAATGGATACACTTCAGAGGATGCTGATACTGTTTGCAGAAAAGAAATCAACTCAAAGGAACACCAGTATAAATGCACAACACTCCAGTGAAAGAACTACAAGCTGAGTTCTGCTTTCTATAGCGTGTTCTGCCATTCTCTGCAAAACACTCATTTGTTTCCCACTGCTTGTATGAAGAGGCTTTGAAATCAGCTGGAATTATTTACAGTCTTGTTCTTTTGCTTTAGCAAAATCAATCCAAATGTATAAACAATGAATGGCACCGTTCATTGGGATTAAAAAGCTCAATGCTTGGTGCACTGAGGATTGGAAAATTACCTTTTTGTTATGCCATCCAGTAGGCATGAGCAAAACATAACACAGGTATTAGTGAGATCACCTGTGGTTTAACAATGACTTAACAGAAGCTTTTTTCGAAACGCATTAATGTTTTCCCTAGGTGGAAGTCTCTTTGGTAAAAATCTGCACGCTGCATCTGCATGCTGGGAAAAGTCTGGCACTGCATTACATAGTCTACAAGTGACCAAATCCTTCCTTTTATGATGTATTTTTATCTGTGTGCCATTTTTATTCAGTCCAGTGTGATTTCTTGGAATAGGTCTCTCCATCGCTATCAGCCATGAAGCGGTATACCTCAGAATACCAGACATTTGGGGAGAAGAATGGGAAGGGATATTGCCTTCATGCCCTGCTTGTAACGTTCCAAGAAGTAGCCAGCTAGCTACAGTTGGAAGCATGCCTAACAGTCTTAGAATACAGAGAATTTTCTGGTTCAGCAAGTAAGTTCAGGAGGTCAAATGGTGGGTTAGTGGAGACAGACAGCAAATAAAGATATCCACTTGATGGCAGTGCTGAAGACCAAAGGACAAAGGGATGGGTTAGCTGGTTTGCTTGCCTCCCCTCTCATCTCACGGCGCAAGCTATAACAGAGCTATCACAGCATCAGTACAGACCACTGTTCCCAGATTGGTGTAGTTCCCAAAACCAGCATAGTCATAAAGTCTTCACAGCCAGCTGCACAAGCTTGGCTTGTGTGCTAGAAATATTGCTGTTGCTCTTTCGAGGAATGCTTCCTGGCATAGAGGGTAGGGAACTGAGAATGCGTTGCCTCCAGCTTTTGAGATCGGAAAATGATCATTCTTGTTTACCTATCAGTACCATGCAGAATGTGTGTCCACAAACCAAGCTATTCCCCCCTCCTCAAAACTGTAAACAGCCTGGCTTTTTCTCTTAGGTAAATCCTGATTTTGGATTGCTATCATGTATCTTCACTGGGAGCTCCTCAACCACTCTGTGTTCTCCTTAACATCCCTGTGACCCTCACAGGTCCCAGGGAGCTTGGAAAATTTTGTTAGTCATGGTAACTGAGTTCATATTATGGACAGCAGATTTCTTAGAAACTACATATCCAGCTGTACACAGCTGTGAATGATGGTCAGAATCAAAGCACAAGGAGCCCTTGGGCATTCAATTTCGAGTGTGTCCATTCTTCTTCATATTCATGTCTTCTTCCATTCTTCCTGTCAAGTTGGTGGTAGGCAAGATTAGGCCAAGATGGAAGATAAAGGTCATCTGCAGCCAGCACAAGCTTGCAAGAACAGAAGCCTTCACAGAAATCTGTTGGCATCACCTGAATCACTCTGACCTGTTTGTTTTCTGCCTTCCTCGTGTGTTGGGTCTCTCTGAAATTCTCTCCTTTAGGCAGAGCTGGATGGTGGTCCATTGACAAAATCCTGGCCCCATGTTCATGGTCTGGTGTAAGATTCAGTCTTGCCTTAAGCCTATCTATCTCCCTTCATCATTCTTCCTCACTAACAGAGCTTTTTTTCAGCCGGAATTCACTGGAACTCAGTTCAGACACCATTGCCATTATAAGAGAACAAGGGAGTTCTGACACCTCTTTTTTTCTATATAAATAGCTTTGCTCTCCACCATCTTTGTTTAGTACAGTGGTACCTCGGGCTACAGACACTTCAGGTTACGGACACTTCAGGTTACAGACTCTGCTAACTCAGAAATAGTACCTCGGGTTAAGAACTCTGCTGCAGGATGAGAATAGAAATCGCGCGGCGGCAGCACGGCAGCAGTGGGAGGCCCCATGAGCTAAAGTGGTACCTCAGGTTAAGAACAGTTTCAGGTTAAGAACAGACCTCTGGAATGAATTAAGTTCTTAACCCAAGGTACCACTGTACCATGATACATGTCACTTCAGCCTATCCTTGCGAGGACTCAGCTGAGTACTGCAATATGAAATATTTCCTCAGATTGTGTACAATTTGTGTGTGTGTGCACAAATGTGTGTGCACAGTGCTAACACCAGGTTCCAGAGGCCTTCAGACCAAACATATTTGGAGGGCTCTCTTTCTTCAGAAGCCACCTACTCTGCCATGCAATGTGGCTCCTCATGCCACAGCTTGCTCACCTGAGGTGAGAGTGATGTGACCACACTCAGAGGGCCCTTCCAGAGCTCTGGGACCTCAGCAGCTCCCCAAGGCTACTGAACCCTGTTGCCACCCCTGCGCCTGCGATTTCATGTAATATTGCTGGCGCTTGCCAGGCTGCAGAGAAAGTCCTGAATTAAGACATTACGCTTTGAAAAGCTTTCACAAATTTATGCGCCTGTCATAGTGGTGAGATGCCAGGATGGCAAATATATCTCCTCCTCACACAGTCAATTCTTTTGAAGTTAACAAAATGCAGACTGGTCAATATGGCAAAAGTGTTCTGTTCCTATTCACAGATGGACTTCCTCCAGCCTCTCAGACTCACCGTAATGGCTTGTGAAACATGCTCAGCTATGGTCTCTAAATGGCAGATTGTATCCTACATCAGAGGCAGGAGAGATGATGACAGACTCGGAATATCAAGAGGAGAGAGAGAGCTTATGGGTTTTATAATTTCCCCATGGCTTTGAAGTGGCCAAGATAGACAGCAAAATCCTTCTTTCAGAGGGGAGGGGGGTACATGTTTATCGCAGAATGCAGGGAGCTTGGCATGACAGCCTTGACAGGTAAATAATTTCCTGTCTGTGCCAATATGAAAACTCTAATTACTGCAACAATATCCTGAAAAATTCTCAACAGGTTTTCTTCTCAAGTAAGTAAATAAAAATAAAAGTTGTCATTTCACCCTTCAGAGTCCCCTGGGCTGGGGGAAAGAGAAAATTAATCCCACTAGTTGATAACTACTTAGGCAGACTTGAAATTGCTTTGCGAACTAGTTGGTGGCAGGGAGTCATTTTTAATAAAGGTGTGTTTTTCCCCGCACCAATTTGGGCCCAATTAAACCATGTTAGCAGATTATAAAAGAGCTTGATTGTCACCCACTAGTTCCTTTTCTGGAGGAGAAATCATTTGACGCCCAAAAGGACATAATTTGCTTGTGACAACTATGTTATAAACCATATTTTCTAACCAAAACATTATCTATACCAGGGGCCACTGATCTGTGGTCCTCCGGATGTTGTTGGACTTCAACCCTCACTGCCAGCTGGGGCTGATGAAACCTGGAGTCCAACAACATCTATAGGACCACGGATTCCTCATCCCTGATCTGGTCTATACCCTTGATCAGCAACTATTTTTTGAATGGGTCCAATATTATTTTCAATTGTGAAAAGGCTAAAGTCCTTCTAAAATTGCTTCTGCCTGCTGTTAACTCTGTTGTGAGTCAAGAAACAGGCAAGCAGGCTTTTCAACCTTCTCTTCTACCTGATGGGGATTGCTGAGACACCCTAAACAATCCCCGTCGGGTTGAAGAGAAGGTTGAAAAGTGGCAAGAGGGCCAGAGCCCCAAGTTCAGGAAGCGATCAAGAAGTGGGACCTCGAGGCAAGTGGTGTAGCGACTCAGTACAGTTTTTATTATTATTATTAAATATTTTTTATTCATTTTCCAATAAAAATCTTCCAATTATTAACAAATCAAATCACATCATATACATTATCACCAATTATATATTCCCTTTGGAATATAGACTCAGTACAGTTTTGATCCTAAGGGTGGATCAGTTCTCAGCCACACCCAGCACTTCCTAACAGAGGCTGGTCAACTATGGCAAATGGGGCATTGCCTCACCAACCCCAGCTTGCCTTCAGCCAGCCCAAACTGCCTGCTGTCAATCTTATAACCAGCCTGGGGTTTGTTCTGAGTGTCACTGAATCTGGCTCCACCTACTTCTGGCCTCACTGCCTTCCATCCTACCAGTTTCAGTGGCCATCAGCCATTAATGGGTTTTGTATTCAATACTCAAGGTCCAGCTCTGAGGGCCTTCTGGTGGTTCCCTCACTGTGAGAAGTGAGATTACAGGGAACCAGGCAGAGGGCCTTTTGGATAGTGGCACCCACCCTGTGGAACGCCTTCCCATCAGATGTCAAGGAAATGAACAACTATCTGACTTTTAGAAGACATCTGAAGGCAGGCCTGTTTAGGGAAGTTTTTAATGACTGAATTTTTAATGTATTTTTAATATTTTGTTGGAAGCCGCCCAGAGTAGCTGGGGAAACCCAGCCAGATGGGCAGGGTATAAATAATAATTATTATCATTCCATTCATTTTAGCAACGTTTACCAGCACAATCAAGGCTAAAGCAAGAAACAACAATGGAAGAGAGTAAAAGTCAGGATGACTATCCTCACAGTAAAAATACATAGAGATTCGGTGTACAGGATATTTGGGTTATACATACATATTTTAATGAAAACCCCTCCCTCCTTTTTTTAAAAAAAAGGAGGATCGGATTCTTCCACAAAAAAGGGAACTTCTGATTCCAGATCTCAGGAATGGGGTAGACACAAATCAAAACACAGCCATGCTTCAAAATTCACCTTTCTCTGAATTTTGCAATGCAGTTCTTCAGTCAAGTAATGTGTACAAAAATGCATATATTGGGATAAAAATTGCATATATTTATTGGTGGAAATAGCATGCAAAAATGCATTATATTAGGTGAAACTGCATATTAAAAAAGATTGTTTTTTTACTAAAATGCTGATAAATTTTAAGTATAATGATTTTAAACAAAAACCACAAACTGATGTGGAAATCTGCACATCAGATTGGAAAAATGAGAAACTGAGAGGAACCAAAATTAACAGATTCATCCTCACAGACCTCCCACATCACATGTTTTAGCCCTGAAATAGATTGCTTTTCTGATGAAAAGCTGGATTGTGTTATCTTGGTACCTTCAAGGACAGCCTCTAGGTGGAGAAGCTGTTGTTGATGCCTCGGTGGTAAGAAAGAAGAGGAGAGAGAACACATCTGAGGCCTCACGGGAAATAGAAAGAGATGGGAGAGATCTGATGGCCTTCATATTTTACCCTGGGAGCAAGAACTGTTATACAGCCACAGGTGTTGGGTACCTATTTTCCTTTGTCCTTGTCAGACAAGAAACATTTCTTCTATTTATGTGCTTTTAGCCAATGTCACTATCATCATCATCATCAAAATATTTATACCACCCTATACCCACAGGTCTCAGGGTGATGACAACGTAAAATCACAATATAAAATCACAAACTTCATCTCTCCAAAGAGCTCCTAACTCTCTGAGCTGCTCAAAGAGGCTATAATGTCCTGCACTTACAGAAATTAATCAATTAACTACCGGTAATTTATTAAATACAGTCATACCTTGGAAGTCGAACAGCTTAGTTCCAAATGTTTTGGCTCCTGAATGTTGCAAACCTGGAAGTGACTGTTCCAGTTTGCAAACTATTTTTGGAAGCCGAACGTCCAACAGAGCTTCCGCAGCTTCTGATTGGCTGCAGGAGCTTCCTGCAGCCAATCAGAAGTGGCGCTTTGGTTTTCCAACCTTTTAGAAGTCAAACGGACTTCCGGAAAGGATTCCATTCGACTTCTGAGGCACGACTGTAGTAGATGGTTTATAAATGCTTTGACTATGTTCTTACTTGCGTTTCTTTTTAAAAAATAACAAAATCATTTGTCGCCCTTTGGGACTCCTTTGCGAGGATAGGTAGGATATAGATTTAATGATTAGAATGAAGTAAATCAAAACATCAGGATTGCTTAGCGGTCCAGAGCACAGAGGGAGCAAGGAATTTCCCCCCTCCTCCGAACTCTGAGGGATTTGGTTGCTGTGATTTGCCAGCTGGTTATCTCTCATCACAGCCTGTCCACTATTATAGAAATCTTCCTGGGTGCTCAGGCTTTCTGCAGCATGTGATTCAGCTGCTTTCTTTTCCAGTCAGGGTCAATCTTAGGAATCAGTGTGTGAGCAGTCCAGCATTTCCTTAAGCCCTGAGGCTGTAATACTCAGAAAAACCTTTGGTTCCTCCACCTTCCCCTTGCTGCTTTGCATGTCCTTGCCAGGCCTCCTGTCACAGCTTGGCCTTACAAGCAGAACAATACACACACCCTTTACCTCAGCAGCAGCAAATGTACCTTAAACAGAGCAGTCCTCCTTGCTTTGTGTTCCGTGTGTAGCCTGTATTGCAGGGACATCTGCTGGAGTGGAAACACAGTGACAAGTGGAGGAACAGGCTTGTGACAAAATTTCAAAGAGAGTCCAAAGGGGTTTGAGTTCCCATCGCATTGTCCCAGCTCTTGCCAATCTAGCAGCTTGAAAGCACATCAGTGCAAGTGGATAAATAGATACCGCTGCAGAGGGAAGGTAACCGGTGCACTCTGGTTTCCATCACAGTGTTCTGTTGCACCAGAAGCGGTTTAGTCATGCTGGCTGCATGACCTGGAAAGCTATCTGTGGACAAACACCGGCTCCCTCAGCCTGAAAGCGAGATATGTGCTGCAACCCCATAGTCGCCTTTGATTGGGCTTAACTGTCCAGGGGTCCTTTATCTTTTTACAGTGGTACCTCAGGTTAAGTACTTAATTCGTTCCGGAGGTCCAGCCTTAACCTGAAACTGTTCTTAACCTGAAGCAGCACTTTAGCTAATGGGGCCTCCTGCTGCTGCTGTGCCACCGGAGCATGATTTCTGTTCTCATCCTGAAGCAAAGTTCTTAACCTGAGGTACTATTTCTGGGTTAGCAGAGTCTGTAACCTGAAGCGTATGTAACATGAAGCGTATGTAACATGAAGCGTATGTAACCCGAGGTACCACTGTATATTTCATATCCCATGGTGTATGCAGAAGCGCATATACGTATTTGCTGTAGTCTAATGTGCCGCCGAATCTAATGTGCACCTCAATTTCCAGAACCTGAAAACCAAAAAAAGTATTTGCTGGCAAATGAAAAGGGGAGGCAGTTCGTTTCTAGCAAAAATGTCCCCCAAAAGTAGTCTCCGTTCAGTTCTAGTTCAGTTTCTGTTGGCCCATTTTGCTGCAAGCACTTTCTAGAAGCAAGATACTGTTTCCTTTCTAGAATGCAGTCTGCTCTCCCCAGCTCTGGCAACATGCCTCGATACTGCTTGCAACGCAGAAGTTTAATGGGACTCTGAAAACTATCCAAAATTTGCTTTATGCCCACTTCCAGTGCTTAGCATTCAGTACAATATATTGCATGACATATGCTGCTATAATTTTTTTTTAATGTTGTGGATTCCCCGGAAAAGGAGAATTTTCCCTGTGGTGAGACATTCTTTCCAAATTGTGCTTTCCTGCAGAAGTCATCAGCATTATGGGACTTGGGAAATTATTAAGATATACAACAGGTGACTGAGTCAACTAGGACACTGTTTCATTATTTAAGAGTTAATAGCCGAGAGATTTTTAAATATGCTTTGGATGCTAATGTGCATCAGCATGTAAGGGAAAGCTTGCCACTTCCGAGCGTGCCTGTTTGCAAAGATAGATTTGATCAGCTGCGGTCTGGATGGCAGAATGGAAACTGCCATTCAGTTTCTACTCCCGCTGTCACTTTCCATCACTCTTGATTCCTAATTGTACCACACAGAATTCCACCCATCAGGAAAATGGACTCTCACCTGGAGAGAATGGAAGCAGGTGTTTTACAGCATGGCAGCTGCCATATATAACAGGGGAAGGAAGTCCTATATCTACTTATGGCATTGTTAATTTTGAGGGGGGAGGAACTCGCAGAACAGTATGGAATTCTGGCCAAGACTCAAGTACAATAAGGACATCTGAGGACAGAACGAAGCATGATGAAGAATATGAGGAAGTTTTCTTTTTTATAATAGATATAGATAGATGATAGATAGACAGACAGATAGATAGATAGACAGACAGATCGATCAATAGATTTGGTGAGGGCATCAGGTTGAATATTGTGGTTCCGTAGCACTTCCAAATCCTGATCCAAAGAGTCTTCTAACATTTCTAAATCCTGCCATGCGTTCTCTGAGTCTGTGTACAAATCATACTTTCATGCACTTGCATAAGTTATCACACAGTACAGTGATACCTTGGGTTACAGACGCTTCAGGTTACAGACTCTGCTAACCCAGAGATAGTACCTCGGGTTAAGAACTTTGCTTCAGCATGAGAACAGAAATTGTGCTCCAGCGGTGTGGAAGCAGCAAGAGGCCCCATTAGCTAAAGTGGTACCTCAGGTTAAGAACAGTTTCAGGTTTAGAACGGACCTCCAGAACGAATTAAGTTCTTAACCTGAGGTACCACTGTATTTACCCTTGTGTGGTGCCTGAGCTTTCCATAGCTGAGCTATCTGAATTCTGATATTTAAACCTTTTTGAACCCAACTATTTGTATTCTCATGATATGCCATCTCCATTCTTACAAATAAAACACACATGGAACAGATCCAAACCATCTGAATACCCCTGTTCTAAAACCTTATCTTCACTATCGCGTGCAAAATACACAGAAATGAGAACAATTAAGTGTGAAATCCTAA